GAAATCAACTTTAACTTGAGAATATCCGTCAGAAAAAAATCATAGCATGTAATTCGTCTTTAAAAAGACAAACACATGACATGATGACAGTAAAATTCTCCTGTTAGTGATTCCATAGTAAATTATGAGGGAAAAACCAGGAAAAAAACCTCATAATACTATCCCGACATTGTAAGTATTTGTTCGTGAATTTAGTTTACCTTCAACAAACATCAAAATTCTGATTTTATATGTTACGTTATTTAAAAAACATAAATGATGTATCCTCTATATGTTACTGACTTACTAATACTGGTATTTTCTTATTAATAACTTCCTCTTTCAATATTGGTAACCAGATCCTACTACATTCTGCCGAGGAATTTGCGACACAATTGGCCTCATTTAGCATAATTAGAGCCGCTTCTTTGATTTTTCTTTTTTTACCATCCGTTTCTTTTAGGACTACATTTGAATTATTCCATTGAACCCTATGTTCATTATCCCATGCGTGTTTACATATTTGAGATCTATCAAATTCTCTATTTTTAATATAAGATTGATGTTCACTTATTCTAACATTTAATGGCCTTGATGATTCACCTAAATAAAACTGATCGCATTCACAAGGTATTTTATAAATGCAATTCTTTGTCCTTTCTTGTTCATTGTTAGGTTTGGTTTTGGACAAAATAGATCTCAACGTGTTTGTTGTTTTGAATGTTGTTGAAATGTTGAATTTATTCATATCTTGTTGAAGGTAAACTAAATTCACGAACAAATACTTACAATGTCGGGATAGTATTATGAGGTTTTTTTCCTGGTTTTTCCCTCATAATTTACTATGGAATCACTAACAGGAGAATTTTACTGTCATCATGTCATGTGTTTGTCTTTTTAAAGACGAATTACATGCTATGATTTTTTTCTGACGGATATTCTCAAGTTAAAGTTGATTTCATGTAATCGAATGAACTATCTTATAAGTAAAGTCGTCCCAGGAGCGCAACTCAACAATATTGGCAATATCATTTTAAAGTCGTCTACTTTAAAATGCATAATGTATGTCTGAATTGTCAATATAAATGAGTCAGATAAAATTAAATTATTAGAAGAATTTTTCACTATGTAACAAAAAACAAAATTTGTTTAATTTACTGTTTGTATTTTGAGAACGATTTCCGAAGTGGAAATTGAAACGTCAATAAACGTATTTTTATCTTTAATTGTGGCTTATTCCCAGTTAAATAGTAATTATATTTTAATACTTTCATACTAGATGAAAAGCACAATAATAACTAAAATTTGTTTGGCTTGTCGTATTTTCTGAGCGAGTGAGTGCTGTAATGCATGGTTCTATACTATTGTTGGTTATTTTCGATTTTAGCAAGTCTTCTTTCACGTACGCTTTGTCTCCAAAGTCATGCCAATATATTTGGCATAATTTGTATATGACACATGTTGATTAGTAATAAATAAAGGAATTTGTTAAATCCTTTTATTCCTAAAGTCTAACAGTTATAATTTAATTATTATAAGCGTTACTTATAATGATTCTGCAACGGAAGAGGGTAATTGAGTTGCACCTCATTACAACTCTTTGGAAATGTTGCTAATAAAGTTGAAATAACGATGATCTGACTGGAGAAAAAACTCGAAGAAGATAAGTTTGTTAGGTAATTTATTTTCTAGGCTGTTTTTTTAATTTATTTTTAAATTTTATTAAAAATGAATCTACGTTTATAAATAATTTTTACAGAAATTGTCATTTATTTTTCAAAAGGTTAAATGTTAATACTGTGTTCGAATAAATCCATTCGAACATGTAAAATTATTTATCAATATTTTTAATTTAGTATTTAACTCCACTTTTGACAAAAATACACCCACTCTATAAATGTATAAATGTCAACCATTGTCAAACATTGTCAAAAAATGTGTCAATAGTTTTTTTTGTGCGCTTAAAAAAAGACTCCCCGAAAAATCAGGCACCCCGCCTACCCTCAGAGCGAATTTACTCCCGCATGGTGCAACATCTCTGTTTGCAGAAAAAAGTCCTAAAAAAACTCATCAAGCATTTACTCCTGACAAATTTATACAGTGCTCTCCTAATCTGTTAAAGGTTTGTCCAGCTTATGGTATAAAAGCAATCAATAATAAGTTTTTAAAAGTTTTTGTATTGGTAGCCTTAGACCCACGTGGTTGGTACATCTTTACATTCACAATCTTCGTGATAATAACTTAGATAGACAACAGTGCACATACGCTTTCGAAAGACTTGTTAACTAGTAAGTAGTATTTAGTAGTAGGAATTTTGTTTTAGTTCTTTATGTATTTGTACTGATTTTATTTAGGTATTGTTTTTTTCTCTCTTTTTCTTTAATAAATCTTTTGTACCTTTGAATAGCTTTTTGAACCGTTAGTATTCAAGACATTCTTATATTACAGGTAAGAGCTCTCATATTTTGTAACCAGCAATCTATGTTATACTCTCTATCTCATTATAGGACATTCTTCATGTTTGTCCTATTGTGTAGATACTAATTTTATCTACATAGAGTGTGGCTCCCCATCGGGGAATCGAATCCCGGTCTCCCGCGTAACTGGGGAGGTACTGGGTTCTCTGATAAAGCAAGTTTCATATTGAATCCCAATTAAACTAATGATCATAACGAAAATAAATTCTAAGGTTTCATTCACTTGTATTTCAGGGGAAACCGTGGTTAACGTAACTTGTGTTGACAGAATATCGAGTAAGTTTTGCGTGATTAGAATAATCTTCAACTGAGAAAAATCGAGAGGGTGCTTCATAAGAAACTTTGTGCCTGACAACCATAACCCCATTTCAAAAGGGGAATGGATTGAAAACCATCAAGTAAAATTTTCCAATCATTTAACCATTCTAGATCGAAGATCGGTTCGTCCCAACTAAGTTTAGCCTGTCATAAATGTTGCAAGAGAATTTTGAAAGGGACAGTGATATAACCGGCTAAATTCATTGGACGAAAGTAGACATTAAAATACTAAGCATCTTTCTGTTAGTGACTTAATGACCTTAATCACAATTTGTTGGTGAAAATGAAAATGTATCTGAGTGTTGATTCCATTTAACTCCGAGGATTTTCAAGGAAGAATCATTTTCGTTGTTAAGGGCGTCGAACTTTTGAGGCCATGTCTTCTTAAAAACTATTCGTTGTTCGAGAAAACTTTATAGAGATTAAAACCGTGCTTACCTAACAAGATTGTAATTGAGAGAACAAGAGTTCTAATTCTTCTAAAGAGTCGCATCCAACTAAAATATCGTCACCTGAGTGTCACAGGCTAAAAGAAAATCATCCTTATTATTGTCCGCAATGTGTTTGAAAACCCTAGTGGCGAGAAATGGAGATGAGCATAAACCAAAAGGAACTCTAGTGAGCTGAAATGCATTGAATGGCATTTCTGGTGAGTCACGCCAGAGAAAATTGAGTAGGTGTAACTCGTAACTGTTTACGCATATCTGCATATACATAGATTGGATATCTGCTATTAAAACTTGAGAGAATGTGCGAAATCTTAAAAGAATATCAATAAGAAAAGGTTGGATTAAAAACCCTTTATCCAATTCATCATTAAGACAACCTAAAAGAGTTTTATTATTTGGATCAAATACTAGCCGTACATTTGTACTAGAGTCATTTTTTCTGACTGGAAAGTAGGGTAAATAATAATTAAGCCTATTTTCTGAGGTTAAGGGCTTTAAAGGTACTCTTTTAATCTGGTCATTGGTTGAATAATCTTGAATGATCTTGCGATAACTATCAAAGAGTTGTGGATCAGAGTATAGTTTCCTCTTTAATTAGAGAAAGCGAGCCTTAGCTGCCGGTAAAGAGCCTGATAATTTAATGTCACTAATAAGGCGATTTAAATTTAAAGAGACTTTGTATCGACCTGAGGGAGGGATTTGTACGGTCTTTGAAAACTGAGTTTTTGCGGAGTGCTCTGTATCTACAGAATCCTGAATCTGTGGAAGTGATCAAATCCAGAATTTTCACTAATCCATGTAACACTTCATCAGACGAGAGGGGGTGTCAGAAACATTATTGATATGGCATGTGACCAAATTATTAAGATATGTGGAGTAATGATATCCTTTACTAATAGCCTACGGAAGATTATGTAACCAAAAAGAGTTTCCTGTAACATTGGTAGCTTTGGGCCAAGAGAGACTGTATTATTTAAAAGAATATCAGAATACAAATCAGCGCCAATCAATAGATGAACTGGGCTGGGAATTGCATAACGAGAATCCGCTAATGTAATGGAACTAGGAATATGAATTTGCCTGGCGTTTATTTTTTCCTGAGGTAAATATCCAGTAATGTTGGAATTACAAAGTAACTAGCATTCAACTTGTGATCAGTAGCTGCCGAAAAAATCTGCAAATGTGAAACTTGGGTGGAAGTGGACGTTCCAGTGTTAACCCCGTTAATTTTAATGGTCTGAGATTCTGTGTTGATTCTTAACTGATGTACTAGGTTACTGGTTACAAGTGATAGCTGGCTGGTATTGTCTAAAAGGGCTTTGACATAAATTCGTTTGCCATATTTGTCAAAGAGATATACTTCAACTGTACTCAGTAATACTCTAGAGTTGTTAGGAGAAGTTTAAACAACATTTAAAAGTTTATCCACATTTGTTATATGTGAAACATACTTTATAATGCCTTCATTTAATAAACAAGAATAAAATGTAAAGTAATTCATTTCAGAACGAATCCTTATTTTGGTATGAATATATGAATTTGTCACAAAAGTATCAGTTTAAAATAACGGCGTCTTTGTTTAAACATTGCCGTCGTTATTTTAAACTAATACTTTTCACATAAATCCATATTTTTATGCCAATACTTATTATTTTATACGGATTTTTTCTGAAAAGAATTACTTTACTTTTTACATGTATTACAATTTTATTTGACTAGCCTACGTTACAAGTATTATATTTTATATTAAAGAATAATGTAAAAATTCGAAACTTACAGTACTGTAGATGAAGAAGGCGCCCAGTGCTATCACTCGGAGTAAAACAGGACTTGCAGCACGAACAACCTGCAAAATATTTTTTTTACAGAAAAATGACAAAAATTAAATAAATTGTATTTATTTTAATTACAAAGAACGGCAACTCTATATATTATATACAGCGTAAAATATTTAAAATACCTAAAATAAAGATGGATGCATATTAATTTGTAAGTTTCCTTTATCGTACGACGGATGTATCTCAACGATGGTGTCTACTTATTAGTAAGGGAGGATATTCAAAGAACCTTAATCTTTTTTGGAGTACGGTCCTGACAGTGACAAAATATATCACGTAAACTATTCTGAAATTTATTAGTTTTTAAATAAAGATAAAATCACAATTTTAAATTATTCTGTTCCACCAAATAGTTATAGTGCAATCTCCAACTCAACCTATCAAATGTAACGTAAGTACCAAAAACCACCTTATAATATCTATATTAAAAATAATAATATAACCTATAAAATACCGAAAAAATAGACATAAAACAAGTTTTGGGTCGGGATTCACACCAGTTTTTGTCTCGGTGACAGGGCCGGCCTTGCAGCGTCTCTGATATTAATCACCATGTTGTCAACACATTTAAAGATACAACAAAAGGTGAAGCCATAGTCCTTTACAGTATTGAAGGGACCAAACTTAATGAGTAGATCACAGCCTGCGCTTCACTGGTTGGTCCACGTAACGTATCCTTCGCTTCCAGAACCGCCAAAATAGGATATTTTTATATCTTTTTAAAAACACAGTTGATTAACTACTTTATTTCCACAAATATCTTAATATAAAAGAAACTGAATTACAAATAAGAAGACTTAACACTCCAGTTCAAAGACTATTAATATCAAATTCTTGAGCACTGTTCCAAACACATTAATTGAACATGAACTACATATGAGGGAATAAACGCCATCTAAAAATGACTAGGAGTAGGAATGCCTGAAAGCGAATACAGCCTCGTCTTGAGTTTAAGACAGTAAATATTTATCACAGCTTTAGAAAGTATGTCTATAGTCTCCTTGATTCTTTCATCATCTCGTATACCAATAGTAATTTTACTTATCAAAACTTTCTATAGAAGGATTTAAATGTAGAAAATGTCAGACTATTGGTCAGCAGGAGGCTTATGTTCTGACAAAGCTAATTCAACCACTTTTAACGCACACCCAGAAACGTTCCATAACATATTAAAATATTAAGCAAATGCACCTGATCACCAAACAGAAAAAAAACTATGTAAACTAGCCGTAAAAATCTTAACAATATCAACCTCAAACAACATCAGCAATCCTACTACAGTACAAATAACACCATCTCCCATTATTACAAATATGTCTTCAATAAACTTAAAAGACTCATCCGATCTTCTTCAGATATTAACTAAAATACCCAACAGACCGATTTACAGATCTTCACTCCTCCTGTAGTAAGCAAACCCAAAGAAAAAAATCAAAAACGTTAATCAAAAATTCCCACGAAGAACTATATATTTCTCTAGAGTTAATTAAAAACAAAATAGAAAACAAATTACCACCATTTATCCTAACCTATAATGGAATATGTGACTGACTGGAAAACACACTATATGTCAAAATCCTGAAATAACATCAAAATATTACTCAAATGAAACTGCCGAGGCAATTGAAAACTTTAATTTTATTTACTGATACCATAATTCAAAATTAAAAAATAATAAAACCAGAAAAACTCAAGAAGAAACTCTTAAAAGAAACTCAACCCCAATAGAATTCTACCATGTCTGATTCCTTTATTTTACAGTGATATCTTAATAGGTTTTATGCCCATTTAAAACAGTTCAAACTTTTAATAAATGAATTATGCCCTAAAATCTTATGTGTTCAAAAAACTCATTTTAAACACGCCCATATAAATTTTCGAGCTTATCAATGTTTTCCAAAAAACAGAATAGTATAACAGGCCAGTGGCGGAGTAGGTATCTTTGTAAGAATAGACCTAGAAGCTAAGCCAATTGCATTAAGTAAAAATCTCGAGGCTGTAGCAGTGAGTATTACATACCAAAACATATTCATATATGCAACATTTTATTGTTGCATATATTGTTCAGTCTTCATTCCACTCCTGTGTCTGTTTTCTCACCCATCCACTTATTTCTTCTATATTGCATGCTCTTCTAATGTTTTCGCTTCTCTCCCTATCCAACAGACTTTTCCCTCATATTCGTCTGAGTATTTTCATCTCTGTTGTTTCTAGTAGTCGTCTCGTTTTAGATGTGTAAGGTCGTGTCTCCGCTGTGTATGTTAATATAGGTCTAATTGCTGCTTTATAAATTCTTGTTTTTGTGTCTGTCTTAGGTATTTGTTTTTCCAGATTGTGTCATTAAGAGATTCCGCCGCTCTACTTGCTTTTAGCTTTGTTGTCATACTTCTTCTTTAACGTCTCCGTAACCAGTTATATCTATTTCTATATATCTAAACCTTGCTTGTTGCTTTATTTTCCCATCAATGATTTCGTAGTGGGTATTTAGATGTTGTCATACATTTGTTTTTTTCTGCTGATATTATCATATTGTATTTCTTGGCTGTTATACTGAAGATGTGCATTAATCTTTGGAGCTCGTCTTCTATCTCGGCGATTAGTGCGAAGTCGTCTGCATAACATAAAATAACATAATATTTGGATTTCTTTGTTCCCCATTCTGTAACCATCACCTTTACGTACTGCTTGTATTATTTCGTCCATTATTATATTAAAGAGAAGTGGGCTTAACGAGTCACCCTGTCTGATTCAGCTTTGTACTGATATACACTGTGTTAGTTTTCCATTTATCTTTGCCTATATTCGATTATGGAAGTAGATGTTTTCGATGGTTTGTATAATATTGTTTGGTATATTTCTTTTATACAGTAGGTGTAAGACGTCTTCGACTTGGATGTGAGCGGAAGCTTTTGTTAGGTCTACAAAACATAGATATGCTGTTGTATTGTACTCAATTACAAAGACTACCAGAACCTTGATGGAACAATGAAGTAGCACATGATCTATCTCCTTTTTTTTATTTGTTTTAAATTACAATCTGTTACATACAAACAAGTAATACTAAGCCTTTTTGTTAAACGAATACTCGTATATTATGTAAGCAGGAGTTTTAGTCCAATGACTATTAACTCTTGTGAGTTTATTATTAAGTTCTAATATTTAATCTATTTAGTTGTGTGGAGTAGTCCAATCAATTTACTGCTAAATTGATGGGGTGTTTTTTCAGTCTTTTGAAAATATTGATCACAGCTTTGCTTCACTCTTTCGATCTTTAAGTCCGTGTAAATTTCTGCGTTTAGAATGAACTACGGCCCATGAGTGATGGCACAAAAAATCATAGAAAGGTTGTTCAGCTGTCTTTCTGGATGCTGCTCAAGCTTTCGATAGAGTATGGTATGAGGGTCCCATTTACAAACTAAAAATAGTACTACCAAAACCAACCTCTCAATTATTGGTTCTTTCATTTTAAACAGATTCTTCAGAGTCAAGCAGAAGGAGACATATTCTGGACTGAAAGAAATCAAAGCAGATTTTTACAAGTTGGTTTACTGGGATCGCTACTCTACTTATTACATATTAATTATATTCCAGACCTTTAAAAAAGATTTGATAGACACTTGCGCTGACGATTAGGCTATCAGTTAGAGACAACATAAAGAACCTACAAGAAAACTGCAAATCTCAGTAAATAGAATCAATCATTGGACAATCAATGGAGAATTAAAATCAATGGTACAACATCAGTACAATAGTCTATTAGAATAGATTTCAACATAACTCGGGTTAAATTTGGATAAGAGAGTCGGTTGGAAAGTTCACATTAAAAAAAAAGAGAGAAGAACTCTACGTAACATTTCAAAAACTAACTGGATGCTTGAAAGAAATTTTAAACTATCCATTAATAACAAACTACTGATTTACAAACAAAGATTAAACCAGTATCGACATACGGCGCACAGCTCCTCGGATGCGCCAGTAGAAACAAGATTAAAGAAATACAGAGGTTTTAAAATGGGAAACTAAGGAGCAGCGTTGAATGTTCCATGGTACGTAAAAAACAGCTGCATCCACCGAGAGCTAAAGATATTCTTCTTCTTTCTCTTTATAAGCCATCTGCTATTTTGGCGGATTAATACCTCTATGGAAGGTTGTCACTCCATCTTTTGCGCGGCCGTCCGATACTTCTTCTGCTGATTGGTGACTTATCTTTTGCTCTTTTGACGACACGGGTGTCCTCCATTTGCTTATGTGGTTATTCCATTCTTGTTTTCTATTTGGTGTTCATTCATGTATACATTGTACGTTACATTGTCTTCTAATGTCTTTACTTCTCTTTCGATCTATCAGTGTATTTCCTGTAATTCTTCACAGTACTCTCATCTCTGCCGTTGCATTGTGGCCGATTCGAGTCGTATTTCTGAGGCATATGTCATTATTGGTCTTACACTGGCTTTATAAATTCTTGACTTCATCTCAGTATTAATGTGTCTGTTTCGTCATATAGTGTTATTAAGGCATCCTGCTACTATATTTGCTTTTGTACTTGATCTCTCACTTCTTTGTCCAGGTCTCCATAGCTAGACAGTGTAATTCCAGATATTAATTTTTTTGGGAATACCTGGAAGAGCTGAAGATAAACAAATAATTGCCAAATGTGCCAGCGTCCATAAACAACTTAACTTTAAAATATTAATGCTGATGCCATCAAAACTCCTCCACAACAGAGGTACAGAACACAAAGCGCAAAAGAACAAAACCCTTTGAGCTAGTGAAATAAAATAGTGTAAAAGCAGAGCATTGTGTTTAACAATTTAGGTTAGAATAGAAAAGAACAAAACCCTTTGAGCTAGTGAAATAAAATAGTGTAAAAGCAGAGCATTGTGTGTAACAATTTAGGTTAGAATAGAACTGCCTATTGATCTTCTTGATTAGATTGTAGTACAAGGAACTCTTAGCTTGTTGGTATAAAAATAAAAAAATGCCGATTCTTGGTATTTTACCGAATAAC